TTCTGAACTGGGTGGTAAAGGAGAGTAGAGGGCAACTCAAATGGGAGGAAGAGCTTCTGGAACAGTGGAGAACTGGAAAGGGCCTGTCAGCAGGACTGGGCTGTGTCAGTGTGGGCTATGGCAGGGATCAAGAAAGGGGACCAGTTAAGGCAAAGCTGTCTTGTCCAAGTGTCTTTGGTGCAGCTGATGTGACTGCTGGGTTGTTTCTGCTTGGGAACAGCAGTGATTGTTGTCTGAGGGTTTGTGGTTGGGAAATAAGGAACCCGCCATCACTTTGGGTTTCCCCACATGCCTTGCTTTGGTCAGAGCCCACCTAGACTCCACTGGGCTCTAATCTGCATCCCTAAGATTTTTGTGCAGAATTTGTCTCTTTGCTCCTCTTCTCAGCTTAAGGACCTGATGCCATAACCTGCTAAAGCAGAATGCTGGAAGCAACCCTCGCTACACACCCCTCTACTCTCACCCACCCTGGGACTGGGGCTTCGGGCCAGGCTGGGGTGGGAGTTGTGCAGGCAAGTGGGGCCTTGCTCATGGCAGCACTTGCCCAGAGGTGGCAACAGTGGAGGGCATCCAGTCCTTGGCCCTGCAACATGGTGGGGCGGAGGTGGGGACAGAAGTCAGAATGACCCATTTTCAAAGCGGCGTGGCTGTGACTGGGGCTGCTTCAGGTGGTTGGCCTGCATATACACGTTGATCTTAAATGCTTCAAAACCAGGCAGTTAAACATCTGTATCCTGTTTTAATTGGTTTGTAAGCCACGGTAATGGGGACCTGCCTAGTTTTCTGAGCCAGCAAGTGTGCCCAGAGGCTAATAAATAACAGTTGTCTGTAGTAAATAAGACTTTAATACTCAGTGTAAATGTGTGTGCAAATAAATATGTAAAATGAAATGTGGGGGCTAAAATCTATATGCAAGTTACATAATTTCTTAGCTGTTTTGAACTGTGAACTATAGTGTGACTGTATGGTGTGTGCATAGTGTGTGGGAAGTGTGTTTGTATAGACAGTATAAACAGTATAGACAGTGTGGTGTGTAGTAATGTATGTGTTTGTGTGTATATGTTTGTGGTGTGTGTATGTGTGTGTGTTTAGAGATGTCCCCATCAGGTTGGTTGGAGACAAAACCAGCTTTATACTTTACAGGGCCTGGTGCAAAAGGTCAGTGAGAGGCCACTTAATTCAGAATTATTGGGAATTTCAAGACAGCAACTGCAGAGCAGCAAACCAAGCTTGGGCCTTTCTGAGTGAGAGCCCTATGTGACTTCACCTTGAGAATGTGGGGAAGTACGAACCTGGAGAGGAGCTGACCTGTGCATTGTGGGGCTTGTCTACACCTTTCCTGACCCTGCCTCATGTGGGCACCCAAATCCATAAGGTATCTTTGGGCTCTTTGCTGAAAACAACCTCCTGAGAATGTCCAGGTCTCCTCCCAGCCCACCCAGTATCACGGGGCCCTGCCCTCCACCCTCAGGATTTGAAGTTTCAGCCTCCTCTCTAGTGCCTGGTGCCCTCTGTGCTTCCAGAAGTCATCAGGCAGCAGAAACAGTATAGGGTAGGAGCCCAAAAGGTTTTCAGTTGTGCCCTCACTACACAAAAAGTGCTTCAATTCTCAGGGGTCATAGTGGGCCCTATCCTTGGGGGAAGGAGTGGCAAAGAGGAGCTGGGAGGCTGGGGCTGCATTGGGTGGGCAGAGTTCACAACTTCAAAATCTCAGTGAGGGGTGTGGAGGGTGGGGCTTTCCTCACTCCTTCCTGTTTACTGTCCTGATTTGCCTCCTCTTGGGTCAAGTGCCATGTGCTTGCTTCACAACCCACTCAGGAGATGCTAATGGGTAATAATGAGGGTGTTCCCACCCCAATACCTATACTTGTCAATAATTAGCCACAATTTCCAAGGTTCTGGGAGGAGACACCTGGTCTGCCCCAGCTGGTTTAGCTCATCAGTGTACCAATAGCATAGCAATCTCAAGGTCTCTGAGTGGTCTTGGGGTGTTCCACGTGTGGGCATTTCTTGAGCACTAAGGGAACTGGAGAACTTCCTTCACCATGTTCCCAGTCCTAGCCGGAGACTGTACCCTAAATGCAACCCACTCCAGCTCTTCTAGTAACCACCAGGCCTCTGTGTGCTTTTGTCTTAGGGATCCCAGATGGGACCGTGTGAACAGCCTGCCTGGAGGGCCTCCCTGAGGGGAGCCGCCTGCTCCAGGCCAAGGGACCCAGACATGTAGGGGTTGTGGGGAGTGTGGGGCAAGCTAGGTTAGAGTGGGGGATTTGGGACAAGCATTCAGGCAGGAGTAGAGATTGCTATAAATTTGTTAGCCACTGGCCATGGGCTTTGTCTGCCAGAGAGAGAGAGAGGGAGGGAGGGGGAGAGGGAGAGGTAAACGAGTTCCCCATGCAGAGGTGGGATGATAAGTGGGATTTCCAGAGGGGGAAAATCCTGATTTGAATTTGTCAGTTCCCACAAAGATACCAGTTGGTTTAATAATTGGCTCACAAAATTCTTGAATATGCAAAAATCAGCTCTTGCTTACTGTTCATTAGATCACTGTCCCCATCAGAGGCTATCAACAAGCCCAAGCCCAAGCCCCCAGACCCTGGCTGCATACCTCCCTGAGCCCAGCACTCCCACTTCCCTGATTTTATTTACAAAATGCCCTTCCTCATGCACTGGATATCTAGGGGCCTGAAGGAACCATCCAGCTGTCCAAGCTCTTTATGCTTCAGATCCCAGAGTAGGGTGGGCTGGTCATGATGCTCACGGAGGTTATGGATATGAAGTGACTTTGCCAAAGTGAACACCAGATCCAGTCAAGTGAAGTGCCACAACCCCCAGTGATGACCTACTTCTAGTCCGGGGCGATGGGGAGATCGGACGTCAGCGTCCATCTCAGTGGTTTGAAGAGCCACAGTTTGGGGCCTCTAGCAGTCCTAATTAGTCAGCTGATAAGCCACCCTGCCTCTCCCTTCCCTTGGTCCCATGCTGGCCTCCTTACTCATTCTTGCTTCCAGAGGACCAGGTGTGTGGGGAGATGACAGATACCAGGGAGCCAGGAGTCCAGTAGGTCAGGTCCCTGGGCCACAGAACAACACCCATCGCAGGAGCTGGGAGTCTATCCACAGAAGTCCACCTGCAGAAAGGGTTTCCTGGTCTTGTGGGTGGTGGGGACATTTCTCTGGGTACAGATTGTTTTTACTATGTGATCTCAGAGACTCACCTACCCTTGACCTTCTCAGTGACTTCATCTCCCCCTCTTCTGGGATCCTGGAATGGCACAGTGGCCCCACCTTAGCCTGGCAGCTGTGATGAGAGGTGTTGACCCAGCTGCCTCTCTGCTGGCTCACTGTGTCAGGTGGAGGGGGTTGAGATGGTAGCAGGGGCCGAGGGTCTTTTGGCATGGTTGGGAACCTTGGGACTGTCCAGAGGCCAGACTGGGGTCAGGGTCCCCTGGGATTCAGCCAGGTACTAGGTGATGAGTGGTACAGGGAGCCAGTGAGGAACAGGTGATATACCAGGAAAAACAGCCCAGAGCCATAGGTATACCACTGGTTCTTGCCCCTCTCCTGTCTTCATCTGTTTTGTTTGGTGAGAGCGCTCAGCCAGGCCTGGAGCCCAGCAGAGAGCACCTGCTGAGCTCAAAGTTTCTATGGGGGCTGGAGATAAGTCACACAGGCCTGATATATGTGAGCCTCACAGGCTAGTTCATTGCAGGAGACAGACTCGTGAACAAACCACACAGCACAGTGCAACACACACTCAGCTGGGAGTGGGCACACATGTGAGGGGCAGGGGAGAATGCTCCATGGAGGAGATGTTACTTGAATGGGGTCATAAGAGTGGTCCTCTCCAACAGCCCCAGTCTCTCCACACAGGCCCAAGTCAGGCTACAGCCCTCGGACTCACAGCCACCTTCTGGACATCCATGGGGTAGCCTGGGGTGGCCCTGTGCCCCCCAGCAGGAGGTCCCAGAGCCAGCCTTCTTGAGCCAAACCTCCTCTAGAGGAGGAGCCAACCTCCTCCTCTGGCTTCACCAACAGGGCAGACATTTCCCCCTCTCAGAACAAAAGGGATGAAATTCCCTGTCTGCTCTTTTTATAAATGATCGTGGGGGGGGGGGGCTGGTGTCTGCAGTCCTGAGGAAGGGGCTCTTGGGAAGTTCCTGGAAGGTGAAAGGGGCCATCAGGAGGAGACAGTACATGGGGGTGCCCAGGGCTGGAGTTGGAGCTAGAGCTGGATCCCGGCTTCTGGTTTCCAGCTTCCAGCTCTCAGTTCTCACTCCCACAGTTCAAGATCTGCACCAGCCCATTCCAGGGACTTTATGAGGGCACAAGGGCTGAGGCTTAGCTTAGAAAAGGGCTGACTGAATTAAGTGTGATCAATAAGGGAAAACTACTGTAGCAAGTGAGCTCATGGAAAATGCTCTGTGTGTGTGTGTGTCTCTTGTCATTTAATAACTATTTCTGTGCATCTCACTTCTGGGATCCTTCTCTGTGTCTCTCTCTGGGGAATCTTGTGGGATTCTACAGTTGGTTTAGAAGATATGCGAAGCACCTACCCCGTGCCTCACACATAGTAGGAGTGCAATAAATGTAAGTTCTTTTCCTTTAGCCACTCAAAGTAGTCACTTGGGGCTGAGGGCAAAGGGCTTCCCAAGTCTAGAGATTGATCAGCCTCGGGTCCCTGCCTCCTCCTTCCTTCCCCAGCTGGTGACAAGTATCTGGATGTGATAACATCCTCTTTGTCCTCCTGTGTTATTCTGGACACTGTCTGGGAGGGTACCTCAGTAGCCCCTCTAACCAAGGCTGGCCTTTCTTGCCACGTGGGCTGGCCTGTGCCAATCTCATGGATGGATACAGAAGGGTGAGGCACTGATCCTGCTCGTTGGGCAGGATGCTGGCAAGAGGGCAGGACAAGCAGGGGCGGAGCTTCCAGAACAAAGAATGGGGAGCCCTGGGGGCCCTGGCTAGTCATAAAAAAGGCTCTGCAGAGTGAGCAGGCTACAGCATTTGCCTCTGCGACCAGCAGTCTGTCAGACAATCTTCACCTGATCCCTTCTGCTTGCCCCAGGCTGGGCACCTAAGCAACAGTCTGTTTAGAAAGGCCTTGCTCTCCAGCGTGATTGCGCCGGTGCTGCTCTGTGGTTTCCTCTACTTGGCGTGGGCCGCTGCTGCAGTTCCACAGGAGAACAGAGGGATGGCTGGGAGCCGAGCCAGGAGCCAGGAAGGCCGTCGGGAGCGCACCTTCATCCCGGAGCCTTTTGATGGAGCCAGTGTAGCCCCCCACCTCTGGTTGCACCGCTTTGAGGTCATCAGTGACCTCAACCATTGGGACCAAGTCACCCAGCTAAGGTTCCTAAAAGAGTCCCTCAGGGGAGATGCCCTGAAGGTCTACGATGGACTCAGTTCCAAGGACCGGGGGGACTATAGTGTGGTGAAAGAGATCCTGCTGAAGACATTCGGGGGGCCCAGACCCGCCCACAGCCACCTGCCCAAGGAGATCTTCTTTGCCAACAGCATGGGTAAGGGCTACTACCTCAAGGGAAAAATTGGCAAAGTGTCTGTGAGATTCCTGGTGGACTCTGGGGCCCAGGTGTCCGTGGTCCACCCTAGTCTGTGGGAAGAGGTCACTGATGGTGACTTGGACACCCTTCGGCCCTTTGAGAATGTGGTAAAAGTGGCCAATGGTGCAGAAATGAAGATCCTGGGCATCTGGGATACTGCAGTGTCACTGGGCAAAATGAAGCTCAAGGCACATTTTCTAGTGGCCAACGCCAGCGCTGAGGAAGCCATCATTGGCACTGATGTGCTCCAGGACCACAATGCCGTCCTGGACTTTGAGCATCGCACGTGCACCCTGAAAGGGAAGAAGTTTCGCCTTCTGCCTGTTGGAGGGTCCCTGGAAGATGAGTTTGACCTGGAGCTCATAGAGGAAGAACCCTCAGAGGAGGGGCAGCAGGAGCTGTCCTGTTAAAAAGCCTCCATTTCCTTGCCCCCCAACACCGGTGGAAGACCCACCATGGTGGAGGGGAAGGGCAGGTCCTAGGGGGTCATAGTGCTTGGCCAACCCAAACCAACTCTTTTCTTCCTCCACTCCTCCTCCTCCTCCTCTTCCTCATCTTCCTTCCTCTGCAGGGACCTTAGTCTGCCCCTGTGGGGGAGGCTTCATTCGAAAAGGCACAGGTGAGGGAGAACAGGCTGGCTGTCTCAGAGGGAGAGAGGGTCCTTATGCTCGCCAGGCTGCTATTGGTGACAGAGACTCAAAGGCTGGATGAAGGGTCCATGAAGGCTAGAAATGATCGCCTTTGAGAGAGGACTAAGGGGTGTTTCAGATCCCCTGAGATGTGGCGAATCACCTTCGTATCTGTGAAGCCTGAACCGGCTGGGCTGGCTGCTGGCTGCAGGGTCCTCATAGGTCTTGCCAGTGAGTGTCACAGCTGCTCGGAAATTCTTCCCTGTTGGGTCTTCCCACTTGTGCAATGTATATTTCCTTCTGTCATTTGCTTTGAAACCCATGGAGCCTTGTGTCAATAATTCATTACTTCCAAAGCCAATAAAGATTGACTCATGGAAAACCACGTAATGTGTTGATTGGGGATGAATGGGATGGATGTGAGAGGGTGAGAAAAACAAGGTGTAAATGTCAAAGAGAAGGAAGATTCCAGTATTTACTGAGCTCCTGTCCTGGATATAGGAGAATATATAGATAGTGACTATGTATCTTGGATTTTATGACAGCCTCAATTTCAAATATTTTGACTTATTTCCTTCATAATTCCTGCCATCATTTCTGAGTCATAATTCCTTCAATAATTTCAAACTGTAATATCATAGCATCTAAATTGCCCCCTTATAGTCAAAAGTAACCCTAAAGTTATTTGTGAGGTGTCTCGATTGGGAATTGGAACTTTATGGTTCTTGTAAACAGATGAGAAAGTATCTGCTTGGCAAGTAGGTTCTGACAGGCACCTGGGAACAGGGTTCAGAGGCGGGTACAAGCGTTGACCTGCATGGGCCTGCCCAAGGGAGTTCTGGAGGACAGAGGATGCAGCAACAGCAGGGGCTCGGGTACTGGAAGGACAGCTTCTTCCTGGAGAGACCTCGGATGAGCCTGAAATTGGAGAGGCAGGATGGAGTGGGGGGCATTCCCAGATCTGGGAATGGGGTGTCCATCTCTTTTAGGGTCTACCTCATAATCTGCTTGCAAATGCCTGCCTCTCTCTCTGGAACTGAGCAGGGCCAGGAATCTGAAAACCCCCAGCCAAAAGGGAGACTGAGGGTGCAGAGCTTTGAGAGCTTTCAACGGGAGGTGGGAAGGGCCATCTTCCCCTCATGAGGGTTCAATGCGCCTCTTACAGAGGTTTCCACCTGGATGTCTTGGAGGGAGAGACAAGCAGCCTGCCCGCAGAGGCAAGCCTGTGGACTTCTTGATCAGAGCCAAGAGCCACTGCTCCTCCCTCAAACTCCAGCTGTCATTCTCTTGGAAACTGAGACACCTGCTCAGCCACTGAAGCCAGGCCTTGGGCAGCCAAACATCCTCACAGGAATTAGCTGTCAGCCCCTGGGAACGTGGGATGATGGGCGGGGCCGAATCAGGAGGAAGTCTTTTCCAAGGAAAGTGGGGCCTGGAGACTGGGTGGGTCCAGCGAATGGCCTCAGAGTGGAGATAGAATTAGAGAAGGAGGTAAGAGAACTGGCGAAAGAGGGCCTCCTATCCCCCATTCCCTATATACTGCTTTCTCAAATTCGGTTCTCAGCTTCCAACAAAAGCTGCTTCCCTCCTCGGCCAAACCCTCTCTTGAGGGGACAACCCAAGTGGCACCTCCCTGAGACCTCTTTCCTCTAGGTCCTTCAGCTCCTAGCCACATGCTGGGCTGAGGTAGGGAGGATGCACAGTGGGCGAGGAAGCAGGCAGGGGCACAGGCACGAGGAATTGAGTATCAGGCCACATTTCCAGGGCGGCACCCAAATTGTCTTCTTTGCCTTCCTCATGCACGGCAGGCTGGTGAACAAGAATGGGTGACCTGTGTACCAGCTGCAGAGTCCTTTCCTCCCCTGTTCTGAGGGAGAAGAGACTGTTCAAGCTGCCAGGCTCTCTCTCCTGGAGGAAAGTGAGCACCCAGGCTGGGCCTCAGGAGAGGAAGAGGCCCCCATGGAGGCAGGAACTAAGTGGTGATTCTTATCAGGTAAACCTTAAGTCTCAAGCTGAGTGAGACTTAAGACAGGTGCTGTGTGTGTGTGAGTTGGTTATTAGTGCAAATGTGGAAGCTGGGCTTCAGGGCGGTGACTGCCAGTCCCCTAGGAGCAGAGTATCAAGGGGGATCCCTGGAGATCAGCCAGCAGGTGGGGCAGCCCCATCGCAGAGGCTTGATGGATGCCTGGGCGAGGAGTTCGAGCTTGACTTGTATGGTGGAGGACCAGTAAGGTTTATCTGGCTTCTAGGTGTAGGTTGGAGTAAAGCAGCAGTGAAGAATCAAACTGGAAAGCCAGGACAGTAGTCAGACTCAGGGTCTGAGTTTGAGATGGTGGGAAGGAGACAGGCAGGCAGCAACGTAAAGCTCTAATCTGTCTGCACTTGAGAATGGCTTGGGAAGAGCAATTAAAGCTGGTTTCTCAGGTGCCCCTAATGAGAAGCCAGGCTCAAGAAGCCCTGGTCTAAACCTAGGGGCATCTGCCCCGTTGTGACCCAAAGGGTGGTCCCTGGACCAGCAGGAAGGCAGCATGAGCTGCAAGCTGGTTAGAAACATAGCATCTCATCCTCACCCAGACCTGCACTTTCATTGAGCCAGAGGTCCAGGTGATTCACATGTACATGGATATTTGAAAAGCCCTGGCCTAGAACATTCTGATCCCTCTAGTTAATTAAGGAGCAACTCATGGCCCTCACAGAACCCCTCTTCCCTGATAATGACCGCACACTGAATGCTGACCATTCCTCCAGCAGTGAGAAGTGATTTCTCTTGCGTTTATCCAGAAAACATTTATTTTTATACTTCTATTTTGAAATAATCTCAGACTTATAGAAAAGTTGCAAGAGTAACAAAGAATTTCCATATACATTTTACCTATTTTCTCCCAATATTAATTTTTACCAATTAATATTATCATTTAATCTCATTCTGTCTTTCTCTGTATCTATATGCATATGAACTATGTAAAAATTATAAATATGATACACATTTACTTCTCTACACTTAAGTGTTTATTTCCTAAAAACTAAGGAATCCTGTTACATAATCACAATACAGTGATCAAGACCAGGAAATTAACATTGGTATAGTACTGTTACTATCTAATCTGCAGAGCTTATTTCATTTTCCCAATTATCCTGTCAATGACCTTTGTAGCAAAAGAAACCAGTTGTTTTCTGGTCCAGGATCCGATCGAGCCACATGGAGCATTTGGTGGTTATGTCTCTTTGGTCTCCTTTAACCTGAACAAATCTTCAATCTGTCTTTGTCTTTCATGACCTTACCATTCTTGGAGAGCCCTGGCTGCTGCTTTTGTAGAACGCGAATCTACACTTGGGTGACTGACACTTTCTCATGATCAGAGTCATGTTATGTGTTTTTGGCAGGGACACCCAGAAAGGCCATGCTTGTCCCAGCGTGTGCTGTCAGGAGGCACGGGGTGCCACTTTAATCAGTTGGTCAAAGTGGTTTCTGCCAGGTTTCTCCACTGTGAACCATTTTTTCCTGTGTGTTTAATGTCTTCTGGGTTGATACTATGAGAAATGTAGTATATGTTGTATGTATAATATATAAATAGCTGGTTTCTCATCAGATTGGCACCCACTAGATCCATGGATGACCCTTGCCCAAAATGCTGATTTTTAACTCTATCCTCCACATTTATTAGCTGGTACTCTAGGGAAAAGCTTTCCCTTCCTGTTTCTTTCTTTATTGTTTATTCATATCATTGTGGATTCACAGACTCTTATTATCCCATCAGTTATACTCTGTTATTGCTATTGTTTATTTTGATGCTCAAATTGTTTTAGATATAGCCTCAGGAATCTTCTCAAACCGGCTCCTGTCTTCTTGGGACATGTCCTCATCATAATCTGTGCCTTATTTTCTTTTTTTTTTTTTTAATATTTTATTTATTTATCTTTAGAGGGGAAGGGAAGGAGAGAGGGAGAGAAACATCAATGTATGGTTGCCTTTTGTGTGTCCCCTGCTGGGAACTGGCCTGCAAGGAACTGGTCTGCAATCTAGGCATGTGCCCTGACTGGGAATCGAACCGCGATTGTCTGGTTTGCAGGCCTGCGCTCAATCCACTGAGCTACACCAGCCAGGGCGCTGTGCCCTTATTTTCTGTCACAAGATGTTCCAGGTTCATCTTGTATCTTCCTTGTACCCACGCTGGTTCTCTTCGATGGAGTCTGGTATGCAGAAACCAGGATCTGGGTGTTAGGTGTGCTCATTGCTCCTGGGATGTCAGGGCTCATAGGTCCTCTCAGTGGTCAGAGTGCTAAGACAAAAATATGTACCACATCTGTATATATTTCTACATCACCCTCTATAATAAAATTTTGAGTTCCTACTGATACCTTCAATTCCATCCCACCACCACAGGATTTATTTCTAACTTTTCCCTCTTCCATATTTGAACATCTCTCCCCAACAATGAGAAACCTGGCTCCAGGTTACTTATTTGTTCAATTCTAGAATACCCAGAAAATAGTTTCTGAATTACCCATATACTCATGAAAAACACAACTCAGTTATTAATCGCCTACTCAGCGCTAGATGTGGGTGGTCCTAGGCAGCAGGTGAGATAGATTATGACATCAGACTGCAGTCATCTAAAGAAGAGTGAAGGCTTGAAGGTGTGCAAGGCTTTGCAGGTGTGCAAGGCTCTCAGAGTCAGTCTGCAGGTATTACTTTATCTCGAGGACAAAATGTTCCCATCAGGAGGCCAGCTGGAGTCAGAGACCAAAGGCCACAAGTGATCCGGTGGCAATGCTGAGGGAGTGGCCAGTCTCCAGGCCCCAGAGAGGTGACCTGGCCTGCCCACCTGGTCCTTAGCCACCGAGAGCACATTGAGGCAGCTGTCTAGCTGACGCCACCACACATTCCAGTTCCATCAGTCACTGGCCTATCTAGTTGCCAAGCAACCCAGGGTAATAAATGCAGCTTCCCTGGCTATGTGGTAGGGAAGGCAAATTCTGGTCGGGCTACTCTGACCATCAACTCTGCCCATCTGTTCCGTCCCTCATTGTGGGCTCATAAACTGGTTCTTAAGTACTGACTGTTCAGGTATTGTGGTCCAGTCTTCCCCAAGCCTGGATTGGGGAGAATTCTTTAAGGCTCATGTTGCCGTTGGGCTTGCCTGGGGACAGCCTCGTCCTGCTCTGCCTCTCTGAGCTCTTATTAGAGCATCTTCCTGCCTAGGAAGTATGTGAGGTGGATCCTGACCTCTAGGTATTTACAGCCTGAAGAGGGAGACAGTCAGGCCTGGTTCTGTGTCCCCTCCCATCTGTGCAGGGATCCTTCCCACAGGGAGGATCATGTGGAGGGTCACATGGAGGGGGTCAGAAAGGGCTCCATGGAGGAGATCTTTAACCTGAGTCTTGAAAGACAAGTGGCCATTTCCTAAGAAGACACTGGGGAGGGGGAGAAGTTAGGAAAGGGCGGAAGGACCAGTGGGCAGGCTT